TAGCAATCAAGGATTTTTGACATTTTTATCCTGGATCCTATCAAACGAGAACTCCACTCTCTGAAACGTTTAGAGCTTAAATTTGGCTTAACCTCAGAATTTTCAGAATTTTTCAACAAAATACCTGTTAGAATCCTTCTTGATGTGCTCTTTAATGTGTTTAGGTTTTCTAAAGCGTCTTTTAACGCCATGAAATCTTCATTCATAACATTTTAAAACTTCGTCACCATCCACTTGGCACTGAGACGTACAGAAGGTTGCCAAGGCAATTTTGTAATTTCACATGTAAAATTAATTAGTATAGGTAATAGCATAATTTGTAGTGATATTTGGCATAAATACCATGAGTGATATTTCAAAACTGTCATACGTAATTTCACGGGCGGTTAGGCAAGTGAAATTTGTCTGTTAAAACTTTATAGTGCTCACCATAAATACGGTTTATAGTGCATGTTTAGTACGATAATTAACAAATATGATGATGGGAATTTTCCAAACATTAAAAGTGTACATCCATAAAGTTTAATTCGACTTTTACCACTGCTCTAAGCCAATCAAACTGCAGAAATTTCTCACGTAGTAGTATAAACGCTGAAATTTTGCGTGAAAATGATATTAGGCATTTTTACAATTTTGAACTTTGAAAGACTCTAGTGTGCTATACACCATGTATACCGAGTGAAATGGCTGTTTACATATTTGGTAACTCCTCAAAAACGGTGAACAACTTGGAAAAGCAAAGAGATGGAGAAGAAAGGTGTCCAGCAGTCTAGGAGAGATCCTGTATTATTGTATATGAAGTACACATGCTATACCTCATCCATGTCCTCATCTTGTCCTTGCTGATGGACTTCACAAGCATGGCCATCTTTCCAAGCCTCTACATCACCACAATCGCATACTCCACCCCCCTGAGATGTATTCATCTGCAAAATGAACAATTAAAGAATACTACAGAACCCTCTTCTGTTTTTCTTAGAGCACAGCCTTGACTATTAATTCCACATGTCATTAACCACATGTATATGTGAAATATGATTATCCAGGTGAGTGTAACCCTTGGTAAGACTGCTGTTGGTGGTGAGCAAGGTTTGGACAACCTGTGTAGTCTCTCTGATAATAACTTACACACTCAGACAATCCTTTTATTTCAACTAATTATACCAGGACTCTTTGGTTCAACCCGTTTACAATTCCGGATAATCTAAACATTAGTTTTAATTCATTATTGATAGTGCATAAAGTCAGATGTCAATCAATCAATCAAAGCCTTTATTTTAAAACGATAGTTTTCAAAGTTGAAAAGGTTGTGGGGTCGTTTATCCTAGGTACTAACATGCTAATGTCTTGTGGAAATTTACAGTATTAGTCCAAAACAAAGGTATTCATGATAAGAAACAAGATATTTAAGATAAGAAATTTAAATTTATACCAAAACCTAAGATAAATGCAAGTGGGTAAAATTGGCTATTAAACTTCAGGCAAATTATAATATTCAGAGGGTTCAAAATGTAGATTTTTATATATAAATAAAATCTTTAGATCTGAAAGTGCATGTGGACACAGATGTCACTTTAACAGTAAAATTTTTACCAGTAGTAATGTTGAAGTAAAATTGTCACTTTAAAAGTAAAATTGTACCTTGTAATGATGATTTTTATGAATGCTTTTTTGGAAGCAGTCAATACAAAGAACACAGGTATTGTCATAACCACACTCCCTGCAAAAAAAAAATTCAAAACAAAACAAAACAAATTGGTCAAAGCTGGAGCATAAAGGGTTATGTTTGTTAATGAGCTGCTGTGATAAATATACAGTGGAATCTTGATTTATTAAACTTTCTGGGAAAAAGGAAATTAGTTCAGATCATTGACAGGTTCAAAAAATCAGGGGTAATTAAGTGAGGGGAAGTCAGTTATGGCTTGAATTATCAGAAGTTTCAGGAAACTGAGGGTTCGAGAAATACAGATTCTCCTTTATTCACATTTTCTGCCTACGTGTAGGGGTAGGCGACCATGTTTGCCACGGAACAAAGAAAGTCATTTTTACAGCTTGCCATTCGGGCAAGCTGAAGCTAGCATATACTAGCCTAAACATCATTTCAACTAGCCCCAAAAACTTTTTGATGAGCAGAAGTGATTTTACAGTTCTTCTGTAAGTTGAATTCCTCAAAAAACATCACTTGCCCATTGGGCAAGTTAAGAACAGAATTCACTAGCCCGAAAGCAAAATCCACTAGCCCCGGGCTATCGGACACTACTTTCCTTGCACATAATAGACAACCACTATTTCCTAGATGAGGTAATGGCATTACTGTTCTACCTGGTAGCCTAGCTGTTTTTCCGTTTTTTTTTTTTACGGATACACATACGGGTAATTTACCCATACCCGTACACAGAAACAGTGTATCTTAAGGGTCTCTATTACTACATGTATGGCTCCCATATAATGTACAGATGTCAACTTTCTTTTTACTTTCCTATGTACTGTTATTAGTGTATTTGGCTGTCTATTGTTTTTGTATTGTACATACTATGTAAGATTGTTTATTATCATTCAAAGCAAATTTTTCTTTCTTTTCATTGGCAGAGAGCCCACCACCTGACCTGGAAATAACTACCTACAAATAATGGTCTGCTCATGCGCAATGTCGTCCAACTGTGTTTGGCTTTAAGTGTTTGGCTGCAAATAATATTCTGCACATGCGTAAAGGAAACCGTGCTTTTCTGCTTCTTGCGATCGCTCTTGCATGAAAATGGCAGATTGCTTCGCTTCCCAAGAATATTCATGAAAAAAACAAACTCGTGATCGAATGATAAAAAAATTATTGAACTCTGTTATTGCAAAATATCGTGATTTGTCAGTGTCTCGCAGATCAATTATTCAACAACTGATCTGCTTGCCACAGACAAATCACAATATTTTGCTCAAAGTTAATTATTTTAATCTAAAGGTACTAATTACATATACTTGATTAAAAAAAACAACAACAACAACATAAACATAATAAATCGTAACTATCTCTCATCTTGGAGGTCATACTGACTTTATATTTCAATTCTAATGACGTAACAAAAATAAAATTTAGCTTAAACAACTTAATTTACCTTTAAAAAAGCTCAAGCTTACTTCCCTTTCGTAATTAAGCTTAACACACCGGTAAGTCGTTTTGGCATTTTCCAGGATAGTCCATTTATTAACCTAACCTTCGACTAACTCGAATTGAAGTCACTAACCTGCAGGAATAAGTTGGTTCCCCATTTTTGAAGACCTTTCCACATAACTGCGATGGTGAGTTGGCACTTTGCAGTTTTTGGAGACCAATGATAGGATCTTCGCCGCAGATATAGTATTCTAGAGGCAAGAAAATCATCCTCTGACATTTCTGTTCGTTTATCAGAGCTTTCGAATTGGGTACTGAATGCATTTCGAAGCATTTAAACACATTTTCCGAAAGATGGTTCATAAAAATGCTTCTGAAGTCCTTCGCAGACTTCCCTCGCTTCAACCATGTTTTTCCAAGTTCAGAGAAGTCTGAATCGGGACTTGGAGGGTTTCCCTTCATCTTAAGAAACTCCTTGTCTACTATTTTCACCCCAGGAAACCTTCAACTGGCAGTGTCTTTCGAAATGAGGAATTCAATGGCCGAACACAGGGTCTATTTCTGTTGAAAACATGGCCGTACGTGATTCCCAGACTGGCAAGGTAGTTACGTCATGTATGGCAAACAAAATAAACCGAATTTTTTTCTGCGACACCTGTGAAAATCTGAAAGCTGAGCTGGAAGAATTCGATGAAACTCAAACACAAACAAAATGATGATTGAAAAGAGAAAGCGACTGAAACTGAAATATTTGTTAGAGCATTTCAGGAAAATGACGGGTTCATTTTTACAAGTAAGACTGACAGACGGCTCACAATGGGACACATGGCAACTTGAGGTCTCGTTTAAAATGGCTAAGACCCCGGGGGTACTCTCTTATATATGTCATAGGGGGTATTTGCCGCCCCAAAGGGTACAGTTTTTGAGGCGTTTTGGTCTGAAAACGGGTATAGGCTTTGCCTATTTTGGTCTGGAATCGGGTATGGTTTTCGACGAAACTACGGGAGTGTATGAACACATTTGTCATTTCAGTTCCAAATGACTCAGAAAGAAAAAAAATATATGCAAATTCGAAATGAACTTTAAGAAATCTTTTTTGCTGCTGTTCTAATCTAAATAATGATGACGTTATTTCTTAGAGGTCAGGTCTGAAAACGGGTTTGAATAATGACATTTTTTGTCTGAAATAGGGTCAGAATTTGGAGCACCAAGCGGCACACGCCCATGTAGAATTCCCAGGAGTACCCTCCCGGGGATAAGACCAATAAGGGGCCGTCGACATACAGTGTAACCCCTCCCTACGGCCACCTCGGCAATACGGTTACCTTGTCATTACGGCTTCTCTTTTTTTTCTGCCCGGCAAAACGGCCATACATTTTCTTATAAAAAAAAAACGGAAAATGCGGTCACCCGTTAATACGGGTCAACGGCCAAATTTTAAAATCCCACACGGTACTCTTATAATTTCACCCCGTTAATACGGCCACTCTTTTGAAATTTAGAAAATTAAAATGCCTGTGACATGTCGATATCATTGACCCAGTAACCTGAATCTGTTCTTGTATTGTTTTTAGACTACAGTAGGCTTAATTGGCATTTATGGTGGTTTAATAGCCGGGTTTTTTTCCAGCTTTTGAACAACTGGGGCCTGCTTGTTAAGGATCCTTTAAAATAGCAGCTTGAAGCCGTAATCTCAGTAGCTGCTGCAGATAACGCAGGAATTGTCAGTCTAGGAGGCACATCGGCATGTACCCCAGGACAGGACAAATGAGGAAACCCCCAGGATTACACTCATAGTACAAGAGCCGACTCACGGCATAACATCTTTATTGCCTGTTTAAAATATCAGCACATTTGAGAACAAAACAAAAAAACTGAGCGGCCAACGAAGCGCAGATTATACGTCTTCACTTGCATAGTAAGCTTCAATTTTGGCCTCGTGCAAGTCAGTAAGCATATCAGTTTGAGTCTCGAGTTTTTTTCGGACTATGTTCGCGTTGTTTTCAGGCTTTTCATGCACCTTTGCTGAGTGCAAGTGAGAGAACAGGCTCAACCTTCTGTCTTTTTCCTTTCCTGTTGTAGATGCACCCTGCTGCTGGCTTCGATCCTGGCTCGAATCACCCCCAACGGCATCTTTATATTTGTCCCCTTGACTCTTCTTTAATCTTTTTCGTTTCGCACTGACGGTAAAGACAAGAATCGCAGATGAGACTTCACTCACTCGAAAACATGTTTGCATGGTCCACCATGGCCAGGCCCCCACAAACTGCACATCCGAGTAAACTCCAAATACTCCAGCGCTAGAATAGATGAACATGATACACAAAACAAAGTTGTTGACCCCTGACGCGTAGATGAGATATATGTAGAATTTATCCTTTTTACTTTTGACTTCTTTATTTGCGAAGAGCTTTTTATTTAGTTTGTAAGCAAGGATAAAGTAACCAATACCGAGTACAGTTCCCCAGAGTATGAAAAACACTTGGCAAAACACAAGCATGGCCTTAGCTTCGACAAACGCTGAAACGACAAAGTCTGTTATGAGTACCAGAGCGAAGTGAAGTAGGATTATTTTAATAATGACGCTAAAATTTTGCATTCTTTGGGGTCCGAGGGAAATTTTCGCTGTCTCCACTAGAGAGAGTATGACGAGACAGTCCGCTGATGTGAGACAAGGGCTTGCCAATGACCATATTACGCGCATGATATGTACGTTGTTTATCATGGTTCCTTGAAGATAGGGGTCTGTAAAGAGCACAAATGCACGAGTGGCGCCCAAAATTAACATGACAATGTTCAAACTGAAACCCAGATATTTTTGATCGAGTCCCGCGTAGAGTCCATGCCCGATGAAGTATGATGAATAAACTGCAAAACCGAGAAATATGACAGCGAATACGTAGACGTGCATCTCCCAAGCCATCCCCCATTCTTCGTACGCTTTTGGCCAGAAAGGGCCGGGCTCAGGCCAGTCCTCGGCGGAGGCCTCTGGTTCAGATCCGGGTTCATCTGATGGAATCTCACTCTCAGCCTCGGGACCACCATCGGGACCGCCCTCGGGTTCAGCCTCGGATAATGGTAGAGCAAATGGATTGGACACCCAGGCGGTTGAAGTCTCTGATCTGTTTTCTATGTCATTCAAAGACACGTTTTTATCAACCTTCTGATTACTCAGACTTTTTGTATGAGTATAAAACGTGGTATTTAATGCTGAAAACGACTTATTGCCCTCCACACAGATGAATATTGCTGTCACCAGCAGAACCTGAGAATCAAATATATACACAAATACTGTTAAGGCTTGTTTGTTTAATTTATGAGCATCATAGAATTGTTTGCAAAGTACAGTCGAACCTCTCTACAACGGCCACCTTGGGGTCAGAAGAAAATGGGCGTTGGAGAGAAGTTGGCGTTACGTGGAGGCAGAGGTGTCAGATGGCAAATTCTTTTTAGGGAGTACAAGATGTTTATTGTGCTATGTTCTTGCTCACTGTACCCCATAATGTTTCAATAATAAATAATATACAGAGAGATAAAATACACCAAAAAAATTGAATGATGTTTTGAATCAAAATGTTAACGTGACAAAACGCACAAGAAAATGGAATGGACCAAAATAAAAAAAAGGGAACACCATCAATTTCCGTAGAACGGCTATCCTGAAAAAATATGAATTGTAAACTAAAGCTTCATTCCTAAGGATTCTACTCAAAAAAATTGAGGGCGTTACATGCGCTAAAAGACCGAGAACCACTTTTTAAAATTTTCTATACTTTTGTCTGTAAGAAAGTCTCGGGAAAAATTACAGACAAATATATGGAAAATCTAAAGCAAGCCTCTGGAGAAATTTAAGCACAGGTACTCCCCCCAATTTTTTTTAGTACAATCCTTTGTTTTGTAGCTTTAGTTTAGAAGTCAATTTTTTTCAAAACAGCCGTTTTACGGAAATTATTCAACATTAGATTCTCATACAAACACTATAATTTCTCACACGTTTGCCAATACTCGTTAAGATGGTGTCGAAAACCGTGACAAGGTCTATTAAAAACAATCAAAGATCCCGATAATCACACGAAGCTGGCACAAAATTTCCAGCAATAGAGAGCTTCAGATTCAAGGACGAAAACTTCATTGTGCTTTTTCTCACCTCAACATTTAGTACGCTTATTTCCGTTGAAGGAGGTAGAGCCCTCTCCGATCCCTAAATGATAAAATTCCTGACAGTTGATAACTACTTTCTTCTTTTTTACTTTTTTCTTCTTTTTTCGCTACTACGACATTCTCGCTAAAACTCTTAGTAGAATGATGACGGCTACCAGCATAGTCCCTAGGCGTTCTCGGCTCGGTCAATCCTGGACTCTACCGTGAGCTGTGACGTCACCGAGAGATACACGCCGAGAACGCGTTCTCTCGCCCGCTCTTTCCCAGACTTCGCGCGGACAACGGGGCAAGAGAGAACGCCTAGGGACTAGGCTGGACGGCTACCACGTTTTCCCGCCAAAATGACGTTGGCTCACGCGCGTGCACCTCTTTAATAGTATTGAGAAATTAAAATCTCCTACTCGTAGTCGTTCTCGTCTTAGAATCTATTAAAAGCTCTCTAATTTCAAAAGGCGGTACGCGTACCAAGGCAAATGTTACTTCAAAACATCATACAAAAAAAACTAACCTGGTACAGTGAAACCCCCCTTTACGGACACTCGCTTAAAACGGATACCTCATTATTACGGACACTTTGCTTTCTCCCTGGCGAAAGAAAGCCCTTATATTTTCTCTTAATTCAACCCGGGACCCCCCGTTTATACGGATGGTTTTCTCTAGCGACGGAGTCGAAGTCGGAGTCGTAAGCGGAGTCATAACCGCGACGGAATCGGAGTCAGAAGAATCAGAACGTTTCCATTTCTTCCGACTCCGCTTACGACTCCGTCACTTACGTTCCGCTTCTGATCTGGTGAAAACCAGATTGTCGGAGTCGGAAGCAGCAGCGGAAGGATAAACCAATCACAATGCACGATCCCCGCTTTGTGATTGGTTTAGTTCTTCGAATCCGCTTCTGCTTCCGACTCGTAAGCGGAAACAAAACGCTGTTTCACTCGATTGCAAAATGCAAGCAAGAATCAGAATTTTGCTTTACGCATTATCTGCCGCCGCTGGTGTCGTTTGCACGTAAGAAAGGTTGAGGTCATGTATAGTTCGGTAAGGAATCGTTCCACAGTGTAGGAATTTACGTGTAACAAATCTAACCTTATAGCCAGTCCTATTTGTATGTTTTTCATCCTTCATTTTTTTGAATTGAACATCTCGTTCTTCTACGGCTTTGGATTCAGCAGAGGAGGCATTAGATTTTTACAATTCATGACGTCATAGTACATTAAAGTTTTCAATTATCATGACATCACGCTATGATGTCACGTATTCCACTTCAGCGAGCTAAAAAATGCTAACGCAATTTATTGCCTAGACTTGCCTACAAGTCCAGCTCAAATGTTTTCACGAGCACGAAGCGCGAGCGGTAGGTTTTTGATGTTTTCCGCGGCATAAAGCGAGCGAATCATGCACGGACTGCGGACAAGGCAAATTACAAAGAATTGACATTTAAACTGCAAAGGACCGCAAACAAATATGCCGCAGAAGTCAGTGTGTCTACTCAAATTACAAAGAGTTCATTTCTTGTTATTCTGCGAGACCTTCTCAAGGCATGATTTCACCTTTTTCAATGTGATCCTTAATAAAATGCGTAACAACTATTATTCTCAATCTAAAACCCCCTTCAGTTCTGTGGCTTTCCCACAAAGGCGTAGAGGCATAAACAGGTCACTCTTGAGTAAATTGTTATTCAGTTTATGGTGACGCGTTCTTTGGAACAACAATTACCTAAACGAGCGCACAAATAAAGAATTTCATTGAGGACGTTATCGCGGGGTAGATATAGAAATATTTTCGTGGGTAAATCACGCAGCGATAAATTTCGATTTTTTTTTTTAACGAGATGGTACAGGTGTCGTCAACAATACTTGTCCAGAACGTAGGTGAGACTGGCGTGGAAATAGCAGCCTTGCAAGCCGGCCTCTGTCCTACCCACGAGTAAGAGAAAACTCTGGGAACGAGATTGGGAAAATAGCTCTTCCGCATGTAGTTATTTTTATTTTATTTCTTTTTCCATGCTTAATTAGCCAACATCTTAGAGCCAAAGGATAAACGAGCGTTAGCCTACCAAGAATGCAAGATCAGAGTAGTCATTCGATGAGAATGTGTCACTCGCGGCTTATAATTACTTGTCAAAAAAGAAGTTGTTATAGTGACTTAAAAGAGTAATGGCAGAATTGAACGGGGAAAAAGATAATGTTAGCTTTGAGGTAATTTGCTTAGCTTTGCAGTTATATTTCGGAGCACAAGCGGAATTCAAAGATGGGATTTCAGATTCCGAGTCCATGAGATACTGAAGTAAAAAGCATAGTCTTGATTATTCAGGTTTGAGCCCATTTTTCTACAGGGGCGACACCTTGCAAGTGGAAATTTTCCTGTCGGATTTGTTTCTATTTTTTGAGTGACATTTGGTATCTTTTTCAGAATCTATATCTTCAAACAAAGCGTCATCTGCTGAGTACTTCCTTTGCAAGCTGATTTTTCGCTTTTGCTCATGAAGAGCAGTAAACATGCTCTCTCGCCTCACGTCAAGGATTTCAAGTCCTGGACGATCTGCCCCTTTGAGTTGATCGCCGACTTTCTTATCAGTTAAGGTATAATCTGGGGTCCCAGGAATAACCGCACGAGTACTGGTGGTCGTGGTCTCACTCCAGCATTCTCTACTTATTTGGGGTATCGAGTCTGGAACGGGCCCGAGGTGTTGAAACGGACCGAAAGCTATTCCTCTGAGAGCAGTGTACAAGCTAACGACGCTACCCATGTCTGCAGAAGATGCCCTTTCACGTTTAAAGCAGTCTGCCCATTTTCTCGACTTCGATTTCGAGGAAGTTCTCGCCTCCATTGAATCAAAATCTTTATTATCTGTTACCATAGCTACGGCTCGCTTTACTCGTGTACGTTTCGCGCTCACTGTGAATATGAGCACGCACGCTAAGATTTCACTAAAACGCGAAAGGGTCTGAAACGTCCACCATGGCCAAGCGTCCACGTATTCTACATCTGAATAAACACCAAAAACGCCAAACGCCGAATAAATTACGATCCCACACAAGAAGTAGTTTGCAGCACCAGAGGCGTAAATAAGACAGATGTAAATTTTGTCTTCTTTTTCTTTTGGTTTTTTATGGCTGAAGAGTTTTTTGTCAAGTTTATATCCCAGAATGAAATTTACTGTTCCCAAAACGCTGCCCCACGTAGCGAAAAACAACTGACAAAATAGTAGCATCGCTTTAGCCTCCACATGATCTGAGACCACACAGTCAGTGGTTATTACAAGGGCAAAATGAAAACAAATGATGGCCACGTTCACCCATGCTTTCTGTAGTTTCGGTGGAGCGATGGAAATTTTCGCGGTCTCAATCAAGGCCAAAATCATCATACAATCTGACGCGGTCAGACATGGCCCAGATAAGGACCAAATAACACGCATGACCACAGTGTTATGAATAATGCTTCCCTGATGGTATGGGTCCAAGAACATGACAAAGGCCCTTGTATACCCAAAAAAGGCCACCAAGATGTTTAGGCTCAAGCTCAGGTACTTTTTTTGGAGACCATCATAAACATTGGCGATGACGTAATAGTTTGCGTACAAACCGATGGCGAGAAATACTGTTGCGTAGAGATAAACATGTAGTTCCCAGGCCCATTCCCAAGTCTCGTATGCCAAGTTCCAGCGAGGACCGGGCTCGGGCCAGTTTTCTGCCGTTGGTTCGCCTATGGTTCTTTCAGCGTTGGGCTCTGTATAAGCGTGACCTTGACTTCCGGTGGGTTCTCCTTCCGGTTCAGACTCAGGTTCGGCCCTAGGCTTCCTCGGTGCACGCTTAGTCAAAAGTTGTATATCTAAAATTAGAAAAAGAACCAATTTAAAACAGTAAGTTAGGCTTAAAATCCTTTTTTTCTTCTTTTTAACACCCTGTTAAAAATTTGTTGATTGAAAACAAATCAAACCGACAAACAGCTGCCTACTTCGTCGAACGCCACCCCAAACTTCAACAGTTTGGCAACAAAACATGCCATGTTTTCACCCAATTAGAACATGACTTTTCCTCACGTGTACACACTTAGATGCAACCGACGGTAATTTATACAGACGGTTGGTATTTACTTTAACTCTTGGACTAAATGATCGTCAAATAAAAGTCTATAAAGTTCTAAAATTTAACCGCCAACTTTCAAAATTGGAAAAAATTGACCGTCAGTTGTCAAAGCTACCTCCCCATTTACACTCTCTTTAAGGCACCTTCCGATATCAATCTTACACCCGGCCTAAGATTAATACTCAGATACGTCGAATGAAATGACATCAGCAGTAGTAACTGTCGGATGGTGCGGGACACGCAAACCACCTTCAATGCGGCGTAGTTTATGACGGTTAACTTTCTATTTGAGTTTATATTTGGAGCACATACCTTGTCCCGCCAAAGAAAACAAAGCTTCGTTTTTTAAATGCTTTCTTGATATTAACAGCTGCTTTCCCTGAGGTCTGGAATCCAGCCCGGATAATAGAAGTAGAATCTAAAAAATAACCAAAACAACCGCTTAATATAATGAATTTATATTTCTTTTCACGAGGCTCGCCCATCTCAATTTATGTTAAAAAAACTGAATATAGAATGTACGAGAAAAAAGAGAAAAAAAATGGCAGGTACAAAATCGCTAAGTCGATTACAGAGATAAATGTTATAGAGATGGTAAAATATAATAGGACTTGCCTGACAAAAAAAGAATTTTTTTCCGCAGAGATGTAATCGCCGTGATGGTGAAAGCAAGAGGGGATGAACGCGGGAAGGCATGCTCCTTTATACGAACACTCCCTTAGGGCGATAGAATTGGTTGGCTCTTGAGAGAGAGGTTAGATTGATGTGAGTCGGAGCCAGGTAGACCACAAAGGCATATTGTATCGACATAAATAACATTATGCCCTAACATAATGTTTGGTTTTCTTTTCCTGTAGTATTGTTAAAAAGCAAACGATTTCGTTCTGAATTCGCCATCGCTGTTTCTGGTGCAGCTAAACATACCGCCAAAAAACTATTTATCAAAAAAAAATTATCGAAGTCTTCTTGGCTGAAAGTCGGTTTACATGGGTGAATTTTAGTGCAAGTTTAGGAGCGATTTCAAATTGCAAGCGTAATTAAGCTAGCGGGGTTTTTTGTGATTGGTCGCTGCTAGATGGTTGCTGTTCCGAACTTGTGCGAATATTTATAGGATTTATTGGCGAATTTTTGAGCTAGAGTAACCAAAACCTATATTGGGTCTTTTCTCTTGATTAATAAGTGTTTACATCAGATGAGCCCTGCGGTTACGACTGAGTTTAAAAGATTGGAAAATCGCCATAACATCGCCCGCGGAATTGCAGCAAAAGTCACACTTAAGGATGCCTCCCGCCAAAAATTTGCATTTTACTTTTTCCTATGTACTAATTTACTAACTGTGTTTCTTGAAAATTTAATTTCCCTTAGCTAATGAGCAATTTATCATGAATATTCAGTATGCATTGCCATGCGATTTGCAATAAAAACTGTAATTGTAATCGTAACTGTAACTTGTTTTTTTTAAAGACCACAAATTTCACGCGTCCTATGCGCCCATGCAATTTTGTGGGACAATATCCACACGATTCCCTTGTGTTAAAATTCATACTTGACCCCGAGGCTTGGGGGAATACACTGTAAAACGAAAGAAAAATATCATTCATTATTGAGCCTCAAGATGATTTCTTTTAGTTTATTCCCTCAAGCCTCGCAGCCAAGTATGAATTTTGATATATCGGAATAGTTGTATAAAATAATTCGTTTATATTTATTTCCATGCACTATAGGTTCTTAAATACCATAAATATTATACTAGTCCCGTAAATATATGAGTCATCAGCCTTTGCCAATTTCTTTGGCGCCTTATTATCCCAAGAGGGAATGGTTTCTATAGAGAATTCAGTTAATGAACTTGGCAGCAAAAAAAGAAGAATTCAGTTGTTTATTGTGCATTATAACGAGGTGATTTTTCCTTTTTTCGTCTTTGAATGAAGCCACTAAATGAAACTTTTAACATCGAAGGAAGTCTGAACCATCTTCAATTGTCGAGAAAGGACTTTTAAAACGCTTCCCCTTAACAACCGTCTCGGTTCAGTTAAAATTCGGTAATCGTTGAAGAATGGCAGTCGCCTACTGAGCTTTTAAACAGGGTATTTTAACAAACCAGACTGTTGGCATCATGGCAACCTCTCATGTAATATGTTATCCACACTTAGTGCTAAAATTCGTTTTTATATTTTTTTCGGTTTTTGCTTTACCCATTTCGCCTTTACTCCTTCCAAGGGGGACGATATTCCGGATACACCACAATTGCAACAAAAGTAAAAAATAGTGGTAGAATAAAAATGCATTAATATTTTATGATATTCTTTCCGAGTTCTTGCGCCATTGTTGTGGGTACAAGCCCACGCAGCTGAAGACGAGTGTGTCACGCATGGGGCGGGAAACCTCATAACTCGAGCGGCAAATTCTTTTTGATGAGATCTCTTTGGTAGCTTAGACAAAACAAAAAAAAATAAAACAATTTACTCAGGGAAACATTTGTCTAGTTATACGTTTGAGCTGCTCTTGCAAGAAGAATTTGTAATGAGTCTTAAGGTTGACGGATTTACACTTGCTGGCCTGGGGCCGGTTGCTCGAAGCCTGGTTAGCGCTAACCGTTGGTTAAGAGGTATCAAAATGTATAGGTTTCCATGGTATTTAACGCTGGTTAGCACTAACCATGCTTCGAGCAACCCGGGCCTGATCTGTTGGCCCACGTAAAAGCCAGCCGATTACAGATTACGACATCCACCGCGTCGATTTTCTTGAGTAACTGTTCCAAATGCGAAAAACGCCGAAATACGAATTGGCGGATTATAGAATCTGTTAAACATGTCTGTTCCAAATCGGGCGGAAAAATCGCAGCTTGGCCTAACCAGGCTGGTAATACTCGGTGAAGAAACAGTAATGTTTGTCTTCCGAAAAACAAGCCTTTTGACTATAAGACGTCTTATGGTCCTCGTATTGCAATTAATTTTCAAAGCTTGGAGGAGCTTTTACAGGTGTCCCTCGTTCAACGTTAGAAACGGAGTCCTTCAATGTTGCTGTTATTAACTTGCAAAACAATCATAGCTACCTCGATACATTCATTTTCGTACAATTATCTAAACTTTTTTCTTCTCCAAAAAATATAGCTATGAAAGCACAGCTCTAGTTTTACGTGACCAGATAGACATCTGGCAATGGTAATTACACCGAGCCGGTTCATAATGCATCTCAGATATAATCAGTCAACACTTTTTGGGCAGCAAAGAACTATTATGATTATTAATGTCTTGTAAAATTGTCGCCTTCTTATTGCAAACGACTTTCCTTAGTTAGTTCTGTATGAACTGTCCCATATCGCGAAAATAAACATGTAGCCTGCAAAAATTTAGGGGTCGATTTTATTCCGGATATTTGAAAACGAGTCCAGTAAAACTGAGAAAATCGAAAAATAAATAAACAGACGAAGCAACAGTGAGTAGCGTTTGTTACTGGACTGCAATTGAATGTGCATCTTCAGTGTATAGATAACAAATAATTAAAGTGCAATGTAAAAACCAAAAACCTTACCATTACCACCACTGCAACCATTGTCACTAAAGTTATTTTGCGCCGTATTTCCAACATCATTGCCAAAGTTTTCGTTGACAAGAACCTTGAAAAAGATAACATAAACCTTAAGCTGGGTCAAAAATGACTTGAACTAATGGACGTTATGACATATGAGGTGTTTGCACTTTTTAATTAAACTTAAAATGGCTAAATTTGAACCTGAGTAAACTTGAATAAAGGATCGCGAATGGCCAAAGATCGTAAATCCTCATTAACGTTTGAGCAAATAGACTTACCAGAAATGTCGTATCGCGGCAAATGAAAGTTTTTAAAAGTGTATTAGATCGATTCTTAAGAAGGCACACGCTAGCACAGTTGGTAAGTTGCTGTTTGAAGATTCTAATGTGATGCATCTGTTTGTACTATGTAGAGCACCAGATAATTTACATAATCTGCGTTCACAAGGGCCTCTGAGAAATCTTAAGAAATGCAGTTTGAAGATAAGGCTAACGATTTGGATTAAATTTTGTTTGCAGTCGTTGGTAAGCAGTTTCATATAGCACCACCAATAATTTAATGAGAGAGCCAAAAGCCGACAGAAAGTTTTCTTTCTTTTCAGCTAAGGAAGTCTTCTGTCTCGTTAATTTTAACAATTTAAAAAAAAAAGCTCACAAATGAAACTGAGACGTATGAAAACAATGGAGATGCCTTATTAAACTTTCTTATTCTTTTAAAACAATAGGATACATGTCTTATCGAATTTTTTTTATTCTTTTTAGAGGCGACTATTGGAAAGAAGTTATATTGACGAACCAAAAAAGACCAGAACTTCTTATTTATTGTTGACGTTCACTTTGTCTATTAATGGATTGTCAAGCTTGTTCGAAAAAAAATAAAATTGAAGAGGTGGGAAGACAGCAACAGCCCAAATAATTTATGATATCTAAGCCAGCTGCCACAAAATTGTCACTGACATCAGTTATACTTGAGCCTTGACAATGACGAATATTAGCGTGGGCCCTCTTCTTCATGCACTAAGAATGGCACTAACGAGAATAATTTTTTTTTTACAAAAATCTTGACATTTTCCCAAATTCATATGTATATATATATTGACATATACACCGAAATGTTTTAACCGAAGTGGATACAAGCACTGCCATATAATTTTATACAATTCCTCCCCCCATGGTAGGTTGACTTCTCCACAAAACTTTCATTTTGGTGGGTGCTTGGATCGACACTTTCTACAATGTTTTGGCAGATGAAGGATGTTGAGGAATATTGTTTTCGCTTAGTTTAAACATTTTCTGTTTGGACTGCTATTCCCTCCTGTGCCGCAGTTGTTGCCAAATTTAGATAACTCTATTATTTTTCATAACTCTAGTCTTACTATTGGAAAGCGGCTCTGCAAGTCAAGTCATTCATGAACGTATTTTTCCCGGACAAATGTACCTCACGCCCTGGGGCCAGATCACCCCAACCAAAGAAAACAAAAGTGCGAGACCCCCTGTGTTTTGTTTTCTTTGGATGGGGTGATCTGGCCCCAGGGGGTGAGGTACATTTGTGGCCCTTAAAATAGAGTAGAGCTAATTTGAATAGAAACTAAGCACTCTTTCCAAGTAAAGCGTCAGACGGCCGACATCACGAGATAGATCGATCCGTTAACTACCTTATTTAAGACATTAAAGTGTAAAATGATCTAATCTGCAACGTAACTAGAAACTTCTAAAAACTTGACTAATGAGTTTAACTTACAGCGGCATTATTATCTAATAATCAAATGATGGATTCTATCAAGCGTCTCTTTTCTGTCTATTTAGTCATTTAGATTAAAAAAGGAAGGTTAAATGAATGTGCTAGAAGGCTTAATAACGTAGGCGTTTCTGTGCATAAAACAGCTGAAGAAACGAGATTGCATGCAAGGGCAAAATCTTTGGCAGGCGTATAGGGGAATGTGGACCAGGATTTTCCCCACCCCACCCCCGTCTGCCTCGCGGGGAACCCCATATGTGCGCCACTTATTTCTCATAAAGGTTCCCTGTGTCTTCATTGCTTAGATACTACCTTTCTCTAATAATTAACAGAATCTTATAGCCCTGGCTTAAAAAATTGACAGGATATTAGCAACAGAGCAGAAAACTAAATTAGCTCAAATGCTTTTTAACTTTTTTGCGAAAAGATTACTTGCATGTCTTCACAGGGGAAGGGTTAAAGTTTGCTTAAAAAAGAAATTATTGCCTTGTATTGCTGGTTAAAGGTACTCTTGACAATTAAATTTCGGATGGGCGAGTGCCAGTGGGACGTTGGAACCGCAGTCCATACTCGAAGACTAATTATGTTCAGCAGTACTTTGCCATTTTATCTTAGACCGTACATCTATGAATAACTAGATACCAAGAGACTATAAAGGGGACAGAGAGGCCATCCCCCATATACACCCTATTCCATAGGTAATTCGTCTCGAGTTATTTTTAACACCACAGATCTCGAGGGGGATTAAACAACAGCCAATCACATAGCGCGAATGTGTTCCGCGTGGATGACCCACGCTGAGAGCCACGCGTCCTTCACGAAATGACGCAGAACAAAATGGGGGAAGACGCAGAGAGCGATTTTGCTATTCCTTTTGTCGACGAAAACGACTACAGCGAGATTTCTGCGAAAGCTGAGTCAGCGAAACCGAAATTAAAAAAGAATCGCCCTTCCTCTCTTGTATAGAGCTAACAGTAGAGCAGGGAAATCCTTAACACACTGAATATTCTCTCAGGATCATCTATAATTTACAGTTTGAAGAGAGCAATAGACCTATTCGGCTAATTCAATGTTGTACCCAATTCAAATCTCCCGGGGATAAGATTCTTTGTGTATTGAATTTGCATTATAGCGTGGCATTCACATTTAAATGATATGGAAATTCCTGAAACAAAACGTTTTATTCCCAAAGGGTTTGAATTGGGTACAACATTGAGTTAGCCGAATAGGTCTATTTCTGGTTTGATGTTTATTTTTTTCAGTCTTTATAGCGATTATTCCTACCCACCTACTTTGTCAACTGTAGGCGAACCCTCCTAAAGCTGAATTTCAAGGGACCATATTCAAGCTCAGAAAGAGAAATAAAATTTCGTCGTTGCTTATTTACGTCCTCCGTAAAACGCGAAATTAGGCATTTTCACGTCGTAGGCGTGCAAAAACGGGAAAGAAATGAACAAAAAAGTGTGTTGCACGTGCGAAGTTGTTTTTTGCTAATTAAACCTATTGTTTTTTTGATGTTCTAGTTGTCGTCCGCGTCGTTGGATCTTAAACTCCCTAAATTGTACAAACGACCGGTTTCAATAGACCGGCGAAATTTCTCATTTTATTAAAGCACTGAGGTTACGACAACTTCGAGTTAAACTGATTTCACGGGTTGTCAAAGAGTCCAGCGATTCCTTTTTCCCAGGTGAGCGCCGACTCATTTCGCTTCAATATTCAGGAATGCTCTCGATCTTTTTACGCTTTCATTGCCTCTCGCCCGACATGTTTTGCACGGCGTTTGGTCATGCGAAACCTCCACGAAACATCCACGCCTCGCGCGAGGTAACTTTATCCCGATTCTAAAAATAACTGGAGACGAATTACCTATGGAATAGGGTGTATATGGGGGATGGCCTCTCTGTCCCCTTTATAGTCTCTTGCTAGATACTCTATTTGTTCATACCTGTCTATTCATTAATTTCCTATAAGTAATATTCCAGATCAAAATTATTGATTTCAATAACCTATTTCAGACTAAACTGCTCTAAAACCATTTCCTTTAAGGTATCACATGACCGTGTAGCCCATAAATGTATCACTATACACCACCCCTAACCCCCAAACTCACCCACCCTGCCCTCCAGGTGTTATTTTGGTATCTAGACACAACTGAACGATTGTATTAGTTTGTTCTGGAATTGTTTTCTTTTTTATCATGTATACGTGTAGTCATCTTGACCATGAAGCGTATAATTTATATTATTCTCTCTTAGTTAATAAATCCAATCATTGAGAAAAACACATGCAAATTCTCTGTCTAGTTCAGCCGTGTGACAAAAACGGAACGCTGGCTAACTTCACCTGATAGTCAACTTTTCTTTGTTCTATTTCAGAACTGAGTCGTGAAGCACGACCAAGGACGTTGAACTCGGAACTCTAGCTCTAAAAGAAACGTTGTCGCGTGAACGCGTGAAGAATTCCTTTTGTTTGACACAATTTCAGAGAAAACTCTTTAGGTAAACTTATGCATGAGGTTACGTAATTACAGAAATCAGTAAACTAGCTTGAGACCCAGCGCTTAGCGCGAGATTATTATCTTTAAGATGGCAGAAAAGAGTGGTGAAAATTTTTTCATAAAACTATGTCGAATATGACTCGCGTTTGAATGCTAATTTGTTACTATTAGAAGTCAAGAGTTCGGGGAAATATCCTAAAAAAAAAACAAAAGTTCACCATTAAAACCAAAACAATGCAGTATCTAGTTGACAAGTTTCCAGCCACTTTCTCTTGTAAACACTTTTTAATGACTTTTTTTAAATTTCTTACCTGGGCAAGCAAATTTTCTGAATTTTGACGGAAAGATAGTACATATATCAACCTTGAAGCTGCCTAAAGATTTGCTGTTTTCTTGATGTATCTTTGAAATTATGAGAGTTGTTACCACAGGGTAGATTCAGGCCTCATTTTATGGCCAGCTGATTCAGATTCCGGCCATGAATTGTCAACATCTTTTCCTTGAGGGCGCCGTGTTAAATATCACTTTGACACCCATGATAACTTTTATATTACAATTAAAGCAGAAAGAGCTCATAGTTTTGAAAACTCGTGAAACATCTAACGAAATTAGCATGAAAAAGTAAAGGGCTGTCGGATTAACGGAAGCGAATGTACCCGATGGCGGGAAATAAAATAATACAAAGGCGATTACTGATTAAACCATATTTATTCCTTAAGTTTTCATTTCACATCTCTGTTTTCCTACGAATTTCGTGATTTAAACTATTTGTTACAATTAATAAGTAACCTTAGTGACAACAGGCCCTTCACAATAACAGTTTTTAATGGTGTTATTGTAATTTATCAGGATAAATAGAGATATTTATTGTATAATTTTTTATATTCTATTTAACTAATTCATTTCCCCAACACTTGTTTTGGAAATTTATGAAAAAGATTCAGAGATCCTTTGTAGCGTAGTCGAAATCGTCGCTAATATTTTGACTGCTGAAGCTCGAAAATTAGTTAATTCCAGCTTGTGGTTACAGCTTCCCTGATCAATTTCATATTTTATTTACAATCTGTAAAAAAGTCACAGGGCGTCTCATGATATTACCATCATATGAAATCTTTGGTTAAACCCATATACAACCTGGTGCGTAGTGAAACGTTCAAACATTTGGAGCCAAAATATCACTCCCTTTTAATAAAGCTCACTGAAAACTATTTATGTCTGGTAGTATTTACCTTTCAAACCGACCAAAAACCTCAATTTGTTGGTCTGGACTGTCTATTTTCTTTTCTGAATAACTGGATTTATGAAACCTGGAAAGTCCCACGAGAAATCGGCCAGAAACTGGACAACATATTATGCAACGTAGTGTAACTAAGGTAGTGTTTTAATACTCAACAGGATCTTTTCAAGAGACTTAATTGAAAGTTAAGGGCACCCTGCAAAGCGTTATAAACAATTCCCCAGAAAATCAAAACTTAAAATGAAAAAATAAAATCTGTGGAAAAAAAAAATCTACACTTGAGCTCAGTAACGTGTGATTTGGAATATAGTTTTTAATTTTCAGGTAATTAAATATTTATACGCAGTACAGAGGATGAGATACATGAATTGTCTGAATTCGATTTAGAAAAAAAAAATTATGGACAGCTTTTAAGAAGTTTAGAGTAAAATTGATCCAGAAAGACAATCGAGATGTGATTGTCGCAATACAGAATGGTTTAGACTCGATAAATAACGCTTCAAGCCATGTGAGTCCGTGTCCGACATTGTTGGATTTATTTATTTATTTATTGAATTTTTACTCAACTCGTACTAAATTGGGCGCGCTGTAGAGATTTTCTACGCTAACCATGGGACTTTGAACGATAAGCTGTGTTTTTGCAGGATACTAGAGAGAAAAGACTGTCAAAGGTTGCCCAAGAGCCCCGTTCAGGCTACCGGTTTTCGTCAACTTATTCCACTTTCTCACTACCACATACATTCACTCGTTTGCATGTCTTAACTATGGAACCAACACCTCAGTCCAGGTAATCGAACTCTGCGGTCTAGATTCTTTGATTTCAGACACTAGTTATGTAAACCCCTATAAAAATAGATACACCGTTTCTTGCGATTTGTGATTTGATTATGAAGCAGTTTGAACATCAAGCGCTGATATTTTTCTTCACACCAGCGTAACATGTAACAGCTACCTTCTATTTACTCAAAAATGGAGCGATCTTACCTTTTAAAGCCTATCACGTCTTTTTGTTTAGTGAATCTGTTGAACGCAGCTTCATACTTTCAGATCCAACTTTGCAGAATAAAGTCTGACAAGTGCCTCCTCTGTTAATTGGAGACCTAGTGACTTCAAAGTATTCTTAACAATAGGATGATCCAAAGCTTTATGTTCACATTTATTTTAATGGTCTGGCTGGACAAACAGTCATATTCCTTACAGAGTCAGCCAATCAATAAGCATTGTCTTTGCCTTTCTGTTTTTCGTTAATGGAGGGTCAAGATTATAGTATGCATTTAGAAAGCGTGACAATAACAAGACTTGGGCAAATGTGATTCACAGTCTTCACTAAGAAATATTTTCGACATGTAACGCTCCTTATAAACTAAACTTTTGGCAAAAAAGTCTTGCTTTATGGCTAATTGCACACGTCAATTCGTTAATTGCGTGTGCTTAAATGCTTTATGCTTTTTGGTTTGAAAACAATGCCATTGTAATTGGAATTCTGATCCTTTTGTCATTAGTTCGCCAAAAGATAATTAAGTGAAAAATAACATCGCATGCGTAGCTTCTGAAAATGTCAAAGTAAGAATTAGTTAAACCATCTTCTTCTTAATGTGTTGATATATTTTAAGTATTTATAAAGTGTTAATGAAGCGGTTTCTATCAGCCAATGTTCATAAGGGATATTTCAAATACACATAGCTTTTATAAAACACTGGTGTGTTTTATTAAACCATGTTTTAAACCCCTCTTTTTACAACCTCGTTGCCAGAGCTTTTTCCGTAGAAAATGGAAGAGCTGCACCCGGGGACGAATCCCTTATAAGTCAGTGCTCGCTGCTTTACCTAATTTTTCTGTTCACTTTAGGGTTTTGTTTTTACTTTTTCATTGGATTCCCTCAAACTTTATTTGAATTTGCCATTGTTTTTGCTAATTTGGCTTACTAAAGGAGTTTAAGCAGGGACAACGACCACGATAGCGCAAAAAAAAAAAGTCACCACGTGCAAGTGTGGTGATGCACGTGCAAGTCTGCACGTGCAGCCACTTTTTCGTACATCTTTGTGCACGTGCCTTCACTGTACCTCCTCCCTCGGGCTTCCTCGTCATATCCCCTTCTTCCCTTGACAATTCTCCTTGGCAATTTTTGTTTCTAAAATAATCACTTAAGGAACTGAATAAACAAGGATATTTTTATTTTCATGTACAAATTCGAGTGGTCAGTAAAAGTTCCAATACTCTTTTTGGTATTTAGAAGCTTTTTAAAGGTCTATGCCCCTTCACAAAATGAGATGCAGATAAATAGAAATAGTAATTGTATCAAAAACCAAGTGAGCCGTATCAGCAATTCAGAACTTCTTAATATTCTTTGTCCAAAAGGTAGCGCTCAAGGACGGTGCTCTTTCGAGTTAGTATGGCATTTGTGCGCCTTTTACTTCGAACAGGCCACCTCCGAGTTGATCCGAGCATCTGTGTTAATGTGAGGCTAAGTGGGAAGCCATTGGTATTCAAATGATGTTTAACAGGACAATTGCACGATGGCGATATTTGACTACAACTACCAGAATTCATTTCGATTTTGCTTTGTTATTTTAATTTGTCAATCCCGCTGAGGATTAAAGAACAATAGCCTTAATTTGCACAAGAAAACAACAAACTCAAGGATTCTGGTAGTTGTAATGCAATTGAAACTCATTATCCCAAAAAAGGTATTGTGCTTAGCCTCGTTTTGAAAGGGAGGGTTCTTGGAACTCGGAAATGGCGCATTGAGACTGACGCCCGAACCAGTAACCTGTTGTAGTTATTTCTGTTAAGCGGTAATTCTAAGCAGAGATCCTCCGTTGCAGGCTCTTGTCCGCCCATTAGTCAAGAGTACTCAACTGCAATAGGATTTGAGTCCTCTGAGTTGCCTTCACTTTCAATAGGCTCAGGCACTCTCACGGCATTCTTTTGCTTTTGCTGGCTTTCGCTTTCACTACTGGAAAGAAAACTTTGGATTAACTGACGAAGGCGTTCCGAACTCCGCTTTTTTAAAAACGGAGGCCTTTTCATGGGTTCATTTTCTTTTTCGAGGACAGATTCCTCTTTAATGTCTTCCATCTTTGCTGAACGACCTATTACTTTCTCTGGTTTTGTTTCTTGAAGCGTCGAGAACACGTTCATACGCCGGCCTCTCCGAGGCAAAGGAGGAGGCTCCTGGCTCGACTCCAAGTCTGGTTCATCTAAAGATTCACAAGCGACAGTGTTTGTATGGGCTTGAGCCAATGCATTAGCAAAGTTAGAGATTGCGTTGTTGATACTAGCTTCATGCATCGCAGAAAATAGGCTTTGTCTACGGCCTCTGGTCCGACTAGAAGGCACTATAGCTGGTGACTCTTCCAGCTTAGAAATTCTGTTCTCAATTGACGCTTCCTGCATGTGGGAAAACAGGCTTTGCCTTCTACCCCTTCCCCTTGCTCGAAATGCCTGAAATGAAGGGGGGAACTCATCACCTTCATCGCTAGGAGAGGCCCTGGTTGTAGAATTTGCCTTTGTGACTACTGAAGCGACAGTAGTCTCAGCGCCAATATCACTTCTATCGATGACCCTATTTCTTTTTCGGAATTTCAACCAACACTGTTGTAGAGCTTGTAACACCAAAGAGCACGAAGAGGATTCAAATGCTTGGGACTGTGAATCAAATTCCGAGTAGATTTCATCCGCTGCCGACTTAACACGACTTCTCTTGGCGCTCACAGTGAAGATTAGAACGCAGGTAACGACCTCGCCTACGCGAAATAAAGTTTGTAGAGTCCACCAATGCCATGCGTCTACAAAGGTTATGTCCGTATAAACACCAAATACACTCACCATAGTGTAGATCATAACACCGCAAATAAAGAAATTGGCTGCTGCAGAGGCGTAGATGAGGAAAATGTAAATCTTGTCCGCCTTAGCTTTCACTTGCTTGTGACTAAAAAGTTGCTTGTTCATTTTATAAGCGAGGCGGACGTAGCCAGCTCCAAGAGTTATGCCCCACACTGAGAAAAAGACTTGGCACATTAAAATCATGACTTTTGCTTCCATGTATGTAGACACTACTGTGTCGGAGACGATAACAAGAACGAAATGAATTGCGATGATTATCGAAATTGTCCTGAGCTTTTGGAATCTGGGTGGTGCTATAGATACTCTCGAGGTCTCTATCAGGGCCAATATTATCAGAGAGTCCGAAGCCGTCAAACAAGGTCCTCCGATGGACCACAAAAGACGCATTACAAATATAGCACTTATTAAGTTACCTTGGTGATAAGGATCCAAAAACATAACAAAGGCTCTGGTTATACCGAACAGAAAAACCATGGCGTTCAAGCACACACTGAGATGTTTGCCGCCCAAACCGTCGTAAATGTTTAACACGACGTAATATCCAGCATAAAAACCAATAAAGAGAAAAGCAGTCGCAAAAACATACACGTGAATATGCCAGGCCCATTTCCATTTTTTGAAGGCCTTTTTCCACTCAGGCCCAGGCTCGGGCCATGTTTCTGGTTCGGCTTGGGGCTCCGATGCCCCTTCTGATACTGTTTGGGGCTCTGTTGTTAGTTCTGACTCAGACTGCTGTTCATAAAGAGCCTCAGCTTGTGGGTGAGCTATGCTGTCTTGTTTAAAATGAGGTGTATCTGTAGCAAGGCTCTCAACCTCAAGTTGAAACTGGTTTTTGTCTTTGATAGATGCACTGTTTATTATGTGTGTAGTTCTTTTAGAAGCACTTGGCGTCACAATTATTGCAGAATGCGTAACACTTAAAGCAATAGGCTCTGAAAAAGAAATAAATCAGATTTAGTAGGCTCTAAGGACGAGGAAGTTAACTTCACCAGTTATTGACTTGGAAAATGGGGCGGGTTTTTCCGACCAACCATAAAGGGTTAAGCATTTCTTAACTAAATGCAATCACGGAATTTCTTTTGACGCCATTAACAACAATATAAAGACAAAATATAAGAAACTGAACATTTAAGGCCATTGAATCAGGCGTAAGTAGATAGCTAACTTACGCTACCGGTCTTTCTATAGTATGCTGAGAGTTCTGAGAGTTCTATAAAAGAATACAAAATTTCAAACAAAAAGGGGTGGCCGGGGCCCCCTCGGCCCACCCCTAAATCCACGCTTGGCAAAAGAGCTGTTTGAGAGACCATAGTGATTAAATTAACTGCAAAAACCGTGGACGAAGATCCTGCTAGTTGTAAACGTTGGATCTCTCAAAAAGAGACCTAATCAGCCAAAATATAAAGAACCAAAAACGAGAAGTCCAAACACTACTGCAAAGCTGATTCAGAACAACGTGTATTGTTTTTTCATAACAATATTTCGGCTGGCCATACCAGACTTTTTCAGGTTTACAGATGTTACTGAACTTATGTTACAGTAGGAATCGCAAGATTATATAGATGGAGAATGTCGCAATAAAAATTGTTTAAAAGGGAGAGGCGGAAATGACGTACAACACAAAAACTAGAAAAGAAAAATAATGAGGAAATGGATTACAATAATTCGTCACGGTGGTTTAGGCGAGGAGGTTCAAGAGTCATGGCCTTATCTATCAAATGCGACTCCCCTTACGAACTGAGTCACGTCCCATGACTCTTGAACCTCATGGCCTAAGCCACCGTGACGAATTATCGTGATCCACATCCTTAATATTTTTCCTTTCTAGTTTTTGTGTTGTACGCTATTTCCGCCTCTCCCTTTTAAACAATTTTTATTGCGACATTCTCCATCTATATAATATTGTGATTTCTACAGAAGTTCAGTAACATCTGTAAACCTGAAGAGGCTGTAATGGCCAGCCGAAATATTGTTATGAAATAACAATACACCTTGTTCTGAATCAGCTTTGCAGTAATCCTTGGACTTCTCGTTTTTGGTACCATAGTGATTGCCCACTCCATAATGATTTCAATAATTTCTGGAATAGTTTAGATGGGCAATTAAGCGTTGTCTGTAATACAATGACCGCGGAAAACAGTTTTCCCGTCCCGCAACCCATCGGGTCTTTTTTCCTCCCTCCAGATAGAAACCGTCCCTTAGCTAACGCTTGTCAACCCAAACGGAAAACTCTAAAACCCCGTCGCCAAAATCTTGCATCTTTTCTTCCTGCAGTTTTTCAGGGCAAGTCTATAAGATCTGTGTCGCACATAAGCATTAAACATTCTGATGAGAGAAAAGAAACAGGAGATTTAAAATACCAATGACTATGATTATCTACCTGTTACTGAAGCTGATTCTGAAGAAGCCGACACAATTCCTGTTCTTAAAAGTGTTGTAGAAGGTCGTATTTTTATTTCCCTCTTTACAATGTTATGCGGCTTGTAAGGCTTTGCAGCCGTTACGGGGGCTCGCCACAAAAAAATCACCTACAAGAATACAAAAGCAAAACTGAATTAAAGGAAGCAACGATAAGGCGAGAAATCTAAAGCAATTTCACTTTGTAATTATCGTCAATGTCATCCGGTTTTTAATCCAACGGATTTGTACCGTAAGATCATGTTCAACAGTTGGAAGCAAAAGAAACGAGGTTTTCTCAACCATGCTTTGAATTTCTACAAGCATGTAATTAAAAATTGCGTGAAAAACAGAGAAATCATTGTCTCAATAATAAGAAAAGCGTTGACGAATCAGACGGGCCTCGAATAATGCTGAACTGAAACCAATAAAGACTGAATATATAACTTAATTGAAGTGATCCGTAACAGAATATGTTAAACAACGTAGAAGCGTTAAAACAGCAAAACCCTTATGCAAAATTGAAATAATTGAGCCACATGCATGATTGTTTATTTTTAATTTCGTACAAAAGCTAAAGTAAAAATTTTACCGGAGAAAAATTAAACAACAAGGCTCTAGGCTAACCGATATCATTCTAACATGAAAGTTTTCGTTTAAATATCGAGTAATATTGAATTTTTTTTTTTCTGGGATAAGGGTGTATCTAATAACTCAGTGGCCAAAAGACAGCGGCTGTATTTTCGAATCGACCGGCAAATTTCCTTGGAGGTTAAGAATCAAGCGCAATTCGTTACATTAGCTTAGAGTACAAATTCATTTGTGTTCTATTCGAGATCAGCTCTAGACAGTACTTACCAAATAAATCCAGATTTGCATAGCTCTTTGCTAAATGAAAGCCGAGCCCCCGTTAAACGTTGCCTAAAACCAAAAAATAAACTAAAATTGATGAGACATTGCTAAAATGAAAGTTCCAAAAAAACGTCTTTTGATAAAAAATTAATATACAATGAAGGCTGGTGGGAAAGTTTTTCTTAAATATTTTTGGTTTCATAACATTTTTAAAAAAGAAAACGTCTCATCTTTACTCTATATGTTTAGAGAAGAAATAATACCAGCGGGAACGATTTATCTAGTTAACGCCGGTAATAAAAAGTATGTATACATCCTGTTGCAGTGGTGAAAATAAATACATTGGATATATATAATTCGGAAAAGAAAACTCCCTAACTTTGTTGTTATCTAAAAACCTCGTGAGAAAATACAAAATTTTCTCCGGATTTTTATTTTTTCGGCAAAGAATAACATATAGGACATTTTTACTACACTACAGTTCAATGTCGGTAGATGAAAATACCTGTAACTAAATAGGTTTGAAAATGCGTCTTTCATCGAGAGATGCTCTAACGAAATGTTCTTTTCGTGTCGAGGGTGTAGAGGAGCGATTTCCAACCGAATTTTATGTCTTTTTGACAGTTTTAACCAAGATGTAGTCAGGTTTCAAGGACAACTTAAGATTTACAGGCGCATAAAATGAGACAACTTTCTAAATAACACTGGAAATCGCCTTCAACCGCTAGCCAATCAAATTAAACGAAGCTTTTGTCATGTGCACTATCCTTTGGAAAGCAATTTGCAATCCCAGTTGTTTAAGAAGAGCCGAGTTGAACTTCCAGAGGAAAAAAATAGTATTCGTCGGCGGCGAGGATAATAAATCGATACTTTTATCTGGAAATTAAAAGAAAAAAAGAGAATCCGCAGATGATTATTGCTGGTGATTCTTTTTTTCTTTGAAAAGTAGATTTTCAGTTGGACAGTAGGAAAATTAACATGAATTAACAGCTGCCGTTTCATAAAGGATGTGACAAATTTAAATCAGACAGATGTTAGGCAAGAAGAACAATTATTTTCAAAAAAATTTGTTTAGTGAACACTAATAAAAATATTGTTGAAAACACGAGTTTCGACGTGTCATGACATCAGTATTAAGATGGAAATACCCTATTGGGATCAATACCAAGAATCATGATTGGAGAAGCTTCTTTTGAGCGAACCCAATACATAAGTAATACCAAGGATTCGTTTCGAATATAACAGCACTTGTGATTGGTGATAAATTCTGACCTAGGAGCAAGGCACGGATCTCGCATGACGAATAGTTAACTTGGCAGCGATTTCGTAATGCGATCTAAGCAGAACTGGCTACCAAACTTACCTTAAAGAAATTACAAATTTACACAAGAAAATTTCTCTATTTTTGTATGTGTCTGTAAATATTTGAACGTACCAGAATGCAATAAAATTAGAAGATGATTAAACGGTTGCTTTTTTAAATCACTAAGTCGTTTTTTTGATGACAATTCTGTGCTTGTGCTTGCCAGGAGAGAACGCTCTTAAGAAAGCTGGAACCCGGGGTGTCCTAGTGCGCACTCATTCATTATCTGCAATAGCTTCGTCGTAACTACAATCCCAGACAAAAGTAGTCGGGAGGATTGTCCAACTTAACAGTAGTCCATTTTAATCCTCAATCCTTTCGGTTATTATCTCCCACCCCCCGACCCTATTCAATGTTGGAATGTAACAAGCATAAACGTTTTGCTCAACATTGGCCAAGGGGCGGGGGAAGAAAGCAAAATTTAAAAAAGAGAGGTAAAAAGTAGCGTCCTTCCCGACACTTTGACGATGATTGTAGCTTGCAGACACAGACGTATTTCAAGCGACGACCGGAGAATACGTCCTTGTCCGCAGGCTACGTCTTAACTTTTAGAGGTAAAATAGACCCGTTCACGGTTTTGTTTCAACTTTTGGTACTGGCCTCAGTTGTTCAAAAGCTGGATAGCGCTATCCACCAGATAAATCACTATCCATTGGATAAATATTAGGGGAGCCAATTACGCTATCCACTGGATAGAGATTTATCCGGTGGATAGTACTATCTACCTTTTAAACAACTGGAGCCTGAGCAGTAAGCGAATATCTATTGACCTTACTGTAAAGAAGGCCTGACCTACTTTCAAACTTAGCAGCTTCACTGATTTTAAGGCGCTCTTTCCAGCCATGTTGACATTTTTTCGCCAACTACCTTGTCCCAGTCAAAAGTTAAAAAAAACGTGCAAGGGTCTATTAATGGCCTTTAGGGAAAAGTAACTATTCCTGCTCAACCGATTCTAATTTCAGGTAGTCTCAGAATAAAAATAAACTTAAGCTACGCCTAGGAAATGAGTTTCTAGTTTATTTTATGGATGTGTTCTTTTCGAAAAATTAGGGAGCTTAAGCAACGAATACGGTAGCCTCCCACGCAGGCGTTTTTAGGGGAGCTCGTATTTCTTCCCTCCCCACAAACGCCTGCTCAACGGAAAACAACATTCCTTTCTCGTTGTTTTATTTGCGTGGTAAGTGACAAATCAACAATTGTGCAATAAAGTGTTGACAGGCTAAACACGACTGAACGTGACCCTAGAGTTACCGTTTTCCTTCTTTTCTTTCCTTCGCTAAGGTTATGCAGTGCACGGAGTATTCTGAATTTTGACTAAATCTTATTTTTGCCGCTCTGAATCTAACATTTATTGCTGGTCAGAAAGCTTTCCCAGTGTTTAATGCAGATCGAGTAATTATCAGATTTTCAGAATTTGGAAAGTACAATGTGATTGGCTAAGCTTGGGAAAGGAATGTTGTCTTCAGTTGAGCAGGCGTTTGTGGGGAGGGAAGAAATACGAGCTCCCCTAAAAACGCCTGCGTGGGAGACTACGAATACGGCGACGGCATCGAAAACTGCAAGAAAGCAATAGGTTTACATTAGCAAAACAACAACTTTGCACGTGCATCACGCTCGTCTCTGCAAGGCTCCAAAAGTAAAACTGACTAAGACCCTGTTTACATGGAGTGGGGGACCCCGGTTTAGTGGGGTAGGTTTCTTTTGTTTTGTGCCCCCCAGAGCGTGAAAACAAAAGAAACCAACCCCACTAGACCGGGGTCCTCCACTCCATGTAAACAGGGTCTTAGACCCTGTTTACATGGAGTGGGGGACCCCGGTTTAGTGGGGTAGGTTTCTTTTGTTTTGTGTCCCCCAGAGCGTGAAAACAAAAGAAACCAACCCCACAAGACGGGGGTCCCCCACGCCATGTAAACAGGCCCTAATTTCTCTTCTTATCGGGGATGTGAACTCAAGACAACGACTTTCTCTTTCTTTTTCTGACTTTAAATAAAGTTATTTAGAATTCAACCCCTGAAAAAATTGCCAACATTTGGCGATTTTCAGCACCACAGGCATACCAGTGTGCTGCACGTGCAAAGTTGTTTTTTTGCTAATTAGACATATCGTTTTTTTTTTACCGTTCTCCGGCGTTGCCTTCGCCGCTTAGCATTACACGAGTTTATGATTTTTTTGACCAAACTATAAATATGATCGAGAGCTTCGCTTTTAGTCCTGGCTAAATCTATATATTAGTAATTTCCCAACGAAGGTTATTTCAGTAAATTCTAAGCTTCAAATAATTGTTTAGTTTGCGATTTCAACTTTAAAGCAAATATTGTTCGTGGAAGATGACGAAAGTCGCTTATGATCTGACCATCCATGACGTAACTACGACTAAGAATTTAATTAACTAATTTTTCACCATGTAGTGCTCGCTACGAAAAACGGAGACTTAAAAAAAGAACGCGTTGTTTAGTCAGCAAGTCAAACTGAACACTGACTGAATGCCTTTGCATTGGCGAGAAAACTGCTACCATTTCGTACAAAATTGATTTTATGGGTTCGCAAGTTAATTTTTGGTTAAGTTTCTACGTTTTTATAGACATGAACGTCACAGGAAAATAGTTTTCACCGCTGTTGTGATAGATTTCAATACGAAAAACAAATGACGATTCCACCCTCAATATTACCAAGCAATTTCTCAGTGACAACCGTTGCCGAGATATCGTGCGATAAGTTCGTATTAAAGCAGCGGACAGCGCTATAAAAAATTAAAGCTGTTTGCGGGAAAGAAAATGCAGCATTTTGATTACGCTTTTTACAAGAATATTAATTTTACAGGCTTCTTACCACTGAGAAACAGGAAAAGTGTTGTTATTCCCGGGGAATTCAGCCGTACCCAAAGTCCCAGTCGTAGGCTTATCCAAAAATGAGACGAAAAGCTCCTACGAAAAGCGATCGCAAAATGGTAACAATCGAGGGGATGGTGACGACCGAAGAAAAATTATATATAAAACGAATTCTTCTCACTTCAGCTGTCTGCTGTCAAAGAACCAAAGAAAAGAAAAGTGTAGACAATAAAAAAAGAGGTGTCGGCCTCTTTAGTCAGTAAATTCTCATTTTCCCTAATTGTATGCGAGGAGCGTTTGAAGTTTCCTTGGCAACGGTGTCATTATGCATTACACAGAAGAATGGTTAATGCGCTTTTAAGAATCCATACTTCATTGCGTGAATAATGCGGCTTAATGCTGTATTACTTCTACCAATAATAAGTAATGTTTTTGCACCAAAGTCGTTTAATATGTCGTTCGAAAAATGAGGCAAAGCAGTAAAAATTATTATCAAAGACGAACGTATTATAATCTCACGGCTTTTAAATGAAGTGTCGCTCGAGCTGAATCTCATTAATGATTGTGAACCTGGGGTTAATCTGCAGGCGGAAATTGTTTAAATAGTATTCGTGTTTTTTATGTCAGATGTCAGAAAATTTTCTACTTGGCAACTTTGCGACAAGAGAACAAAATAAACCATTGCACGGCGCCTGGCACGGCGTAAAGTAGAGCATTTCCTCGAAATAAATCAAAGAGTTCGACTTAATCAGGTGTTAATACGTTTGAGCGACATGCGTGTTAAATCGCCTGAAAGACGATTGATCAAAAAGAACTAGAGGTTAATAAACTCGCGCCTTTTAGAAAAAGGAAATGAAAAATGGAATGATGAAAAATACGAGCTTTTAATAATTGATTTTATTTGAAGGTAAAGTTGCAGGTAAAGCTCATGCAAGTCTTTTGTAATGTAAAATTGTGCTGTAGTTGGAACAAAAATCGTCGATACATTCGTTACGCCTCATTTCAGCTGCTTTTTCTTTCAAAGAGGAACGAAATGTTTTCGTTATGTGCAACTTGTTTACTCAAACTATACTACGAAAGTCTGAGTCTAAAAAAAATAAATTCATTTTCCGTTATGCCTCATAAAACATTCTGTTTTCCGCTGCTGGAATCACGTTCGAATCCAAAATTCAGGGGATTCCACTTATGAAAAAGGTTTTTTCATGTTTACGTCTTTGTGTTTTAATAGACCGATGTCGTAGACAGTCATTGGACCTGCGAACGGTTCATAACTGTATTACTAACGTAGATAAATGTTTTTCTAGTCCGCCTTTATCCTTATAATTCAAAGTTGGCCCAATTAAAAGAAGACTTCCGACCTTACTAATAAAGGATTAGATTAAGTACAAAAACCGTGGACGAAGATCCTGCTAGGTGGATGTCTAGAAAAGATATCTAATCAGCCAAAATAAAAAGAACCAAAAACGAGAAGTCCAAAAACTACTGCAAAGCTGATTCAGAACGTATATTGTTTTTTCATAACGAAATTTCGGCTGGCCATACCAGCCTTCTTCGGGTTTACAGATGTTACTGAACTGACGTAGGAATCACAATATTATATAGATGGAGAATGTCGCAGTAAAAATTGTATGAAAGGGAGAGGCGGAAATGACGTACAACACAAAAACTAGAAAACAAAAATAATGAGGATATGGATTACAATAATTCGTCAAGGCGGTTTAGGCCGTGAGGTTCAAGAGTCATGTGTGCTGTCACAATTTGTAATAATCATCGCACTTTGTAATACCCGTCGCATTTTGTAATAAACCGTGTCGCACTTTGTAATAAAAAAGCTGTCGCAATTTGTAATAACTGTCCATCGCATTTTGTAATAAACTAAGCTGTCGCAATTTGTAATAATTCCATCGCACTTTGTAACAATTTTTTGAGAGTATAAATTAAACTTACTTCATCAACACTAATATAATGCCAAAATATGCATGGTACTTCATAAACAAAGATGATGACGTCTGCTAGCACGTAACATCTCCGCTCATTCAAACCATTTAACTTTATTCACAGTCTTAAACATTTTTTTTTAAAATTAATGTTGATTAGTTATCTGACTTACGAAATGCTGTATTTTTAAACTTTGCTATTGTACTAGGTGGTTTGTATTCAATGGTTACCCGGTGGGTGTACTTCCTTATATGGCCAATACGGGGATGTGCCGCTGGACAGAGCACTGTCAGAGTATAGGATCTAGACACACTAGACACAAACGAGCCATTATTAAAAAGTATTTAATTTCCGCAAATCGTAACATCCATCCTATACATCATTCGAATAAGGACACCAGGAAAGTTCAAGCTTTCCTTGTTAGATCTTATAACAGGTCGACAAAACACGTGGTGCACCGTCCTTGTCTAACGCGCAATCTTAAAGAAGTAATAGTGGCTTCCATATTTTGGCCAACTTAATCAAACGAGGCCTGGAAAGATTGAAAATGTTTACTGCAAATAAACGAAAAACGTCACCAGTGGCAAACCGTCGAACCACAACAGAAACATAAACACAAAATCCAATTAGTCGCTGGCCAATACCTTCGTATGTATCTGTTTTTATAAGACTTACTTGGGGTCTTACACTGAGCAGGCTAGCCATTTGGTCCATTATTCCCAGTTGATTTGGGCCCATATAGGAACAAAAGGAACACTCGTACCATCTTAAAACAATTTTTTCTATATGGAGTGCGCTAAAGCAAATACCGTGGGGATAGTAAAAAATTCTCCTTCCCTGCGTATATACAACTTGTAAGACCTTGCAATTCTTCCGAGCGTGTTCAGGATTACTGTTTTTTTCCACAAAATGGAAAGGATGGAATAAACCATCCATTACTACTTGAGTTACCCTATCTAAGGATCAAACCAAAGACACAAGGCTAACAAGGTAAAAAATGATACCCTATTAAAGGCTCAAAAACCATACCCTATCAGGCGGTACTTACCTATCTCATTAGCCCATCCATGTATGGAATTATCCCCACCCCCCGAAGACTTCACTTGTAACGTGGCAAGCAAACACGGATTTAAACGACGAATGCTAGCTTAACTTCACTTGTAACGTGGCAAGCAAACACGGATTTAAACGACGAATGCTAGGTTATTCATTAATTTTCTGTTGTTAAATGTTGCTTCTGTTATTTAAATACTTTTGAATTTAAACATGATTCATATCTTTTTGGTGATATGTCACAGGACGTTTCATGTCTTTCATAAAAGCAATTCTAGTTGGTCACGTGATTTATCAAGGCAGAAAAATTTATAGCGGAAGACATGCATATTTGACCAAAGAAAATGTTACGGAGAAGTTACGTACTAGCAGACGTCATCATCTTTGTTTATGAAGTACCTTGCATATTTTGGCGTTATATTAATGTTGACGAAGTAAGTTGAATCACTCTAAAAAAGTTATTACAAAGTGCGATGGAATTATTACAAACTGCGACAGCTTAGTTTATTACTAATTGCGACGGACAGTTATTACAAATTGCTACAGCTTTATTATTACAAAGTGCGACACGGTTTATTACAAAATGCGACAGGTATTACAAAGTGCGATGATTATTACAAATTACGACAGTGCAGTCATGGCCTTATCTATCAAATGCGACTTCCTGGTCTTACGAACTGAGTCACGTGAAGAATGAATTTTCTCTGGTGGGATTAACTGCATGTCAGTATGAGAATAGTTAGAGTGAGAGAGAAAGTGTTCAGAAACAGTAGTGGGTTTAGATTTAATGTTAATTTTGTCGACTGCACGTCTGTGTTCGTTAAATCTGTCCTTGAGACGTCGCTATTTTTCCCTTGTAGTTTTTGTGTTGTACGTCATTTCCGCCTCTCCCTTTTAAACAATTTTTATTGCAACATTCAGTCCATCTATATAATGTTGTGATTCCTACAAAAGTTCAGTAACATATGTAAACCTGAAGAAGGCGGGTATGGCCAGCCGAAATATTGTTATGAAAAAACGATACACGTTGTTCTGAATCAGCTTTGCAGTGGTGTTTGGACTTCTTATTTTTGGTTGTCGATGACATATTTTCCTCGTTTCGTGTTCTTTCCTTATTTTTTATCGCAGGTTAGTGGATATTTGTAGTTTTTCTTGAATTTGAGAAAAGTTTTCCCTTTTCTCTATTCTTGTGATTGACTGTTAATGCCCAGAGAGATAGTTTTGTAAACGTGAGCCGTGGTGAAGGATTAAAGTCATGTTTCGTTTAAAAGAAAATCATTTACTTTACATCTCTTAAC